GGAGCGATTGTCGGCCAAAGACATTGGTTTCTATTGTTATGATATGTTTCTTATGAATAACTATAAGTTCATGCAATATATTGTGAATTTTATTGTTATTAAGTTTTTTTAATTAATAATATTTTGATGTCCGTGTTAACGATTTCAATAATTTATATTTAATATTATTGTAATTATTTTTTAAAATAAAAAATAGTCGATACAGAAAATTATAATTTATAACAGTAGCAAGTTTATAATTTGAAAATTTAAAAATAATTCACCATGCAAAACTAAAATGAATAAATATTAATTTCAATGTAATCCATCATTTAGGCGGCTCTGGTAGTCGACGAGGGGCTGGCAGTGCGTTCATCGTAGGCCAGGGTCTGCTCAATGTGTCTCTCAATCCCCTCCAACTCGAGCTCCAGGCGCTCGACAGCTATGGGATCGGTAGCCGCTTTCAACTCCTTGGCCGCCCTTTCCATGTTAGCCCTCTCGCCCTCGAGTTCATCGGCATCCCTGTCCCGTCCGGCGGCTCTCAGCTTCTTAACCTCAGCGGCCGCCTCCTTGTCCAACGACTCAGCCCTCTTGAGTAGGTCTGACTTGACATCAGCCACAGTAGTCGGGGCTCTGGTTGCCGACGAGGGACTGGCTGTTCGCTCATCGTAGGCCAGGGTCTCCTCCAAGTGCCTCTCAACGGCTCCCAATTCGAGCTCCAAGCGCTCGATAGTTATCGGGTCGGTGGCGGCCTTTAGCTGTTTGGCTACCGTTTCCATGTGTGCCCTCTCGGCCTCCAATTCGTCGGCAGCGGTGGTCCGGCCCTCAGATCGAAGTTTCTTGACTTCGGCGGCCGCCTCCTTGTCCAACGAGTCGGCCTTCTTTAGGAGGTCGTCCCTCACGTCCCGTTTGGCTATCGGTGACGATAGGGTACCTATGAATGGGATAATGTGTTAATTATTTGTCGAGAGAGAGAGAGAGAGAGAGAGAGAGAGAGAGAGAGACTTACAGTAAATGAGACCGAAAAGCACTAATACTTTTAGCGTGTTCATTTTGTTATTAACTTTCTAGTTAGCTGTTAATAAGTGAACTGGATATGTAGTTGAATGAATTTTACTATGTGATGAACCAGCTATTTATACTAATTTTCTCGTTGATCAGGATCAGTTTGTGTCTTAATAAATGCGGATTTGTTATCAGGTGCTTGATGATTTTAGCTTAGTACATTCTAATGGAAAATCCTGACTTGTATACAAAAACTAGTATATTTAGTCTATTTTATAAGTGCATGTAATTTAATTGTCCTAAATAAATTGATATACTACTTTTTCACAAGTGATTGAGCAATGTTACTTTCAATTAGTGATTTTATCTGCATTAATCAATGGGGTTATTAAGAACTTCTAATTATAATAATAGCTAAAGAGTTATTTAAGCAAAGATTTTATTGTTACAATTATAGTACGATAGTAAACTGATACTGGACTATTAATAAAACTATAGTCCTAGCTGATAAAAATGTCCTTAAAAATAATTTCAAAATATTGCCAACATACAGTACATTATACTACGGTACACAATAATAAATACCAATATTAGCACTAACTGTACTAGTCTATATAGGAAATAAATTTTTAAAATATTAAATAACTGAATTAGTTCATTTGTATCCCACATGCAACATGTATGTCAGGTGACATTTAATATACAAATAAATTAATTAAAATTCACTCTGATAAATTTTTTTATTAAAGCTACTCTAATAAATAGTAATTAAAATTAGAGAATTTTTACAATTTAATATTAAAACAATTTAGATTTTGTTTATTTAATATAATTCTTAATTTTATGACCAAGGATGTATCAATTTTATTACATAATTTTTGGACCTCTTGTTGGGTGAGTGGGAAACCATGTTTGAATGGGACAAGTGTATAGTTGGCATTGATGGCCGGGTAAGTGCTAATTAACCGCCTTTCCAATATAATATAATATGATATAATTTAAGAAAAATTTATAATTTTTAAGAATAACATTGCCATGATAGAGATGATCTGGAACAAAAATAATAGAATTTATAATAATAAATAAAATATAAATGTGTAAGCCTAAAACCATTTAAAGCTTTTTGGTATGTAGCGTTTACTGTATATGAAATATTTATTAAACTTCTATCATACTTTTATAATGAATAAGTTTAATAAAAGTATGATTGAAGTTTAATAAATATTTTTAGCGTTTACTGTATATGAAATATTTATTAAACTTCTATCATACTTTTATAATGAATAAGTTTAATAAAAGTATGATGGAAGTTTAATAAATATTTCATATACAGTAAACGCTACATAGCAAAAAGCATTAAATGGTTTTAGGCTTACCCAAATATAAGTAACGTAATTTTAAAAATATATTTGTCAGGGTATACCTCATAACCGCGAAATCTATTGATGAGAAACAGTCGCCAACAGTAAAAGCCAACCCTTTTCTTACCCAACCTTTCGATCGTTGACAATAACTGTCGAAAAATATTAAATCAATTGTTAAATGATTTTTTAAATTTACGTAATTTTTGTAAATAACTTTAGCTTAAAAATTATATTGCGTGTAATGGGCTTATTGTAGTAATTGGCGTAATACGAGTTTAGCAGTTTATACGATATATATGCTTGCTTATAAATTAGCGCCGAGTAGTGTATAGTAAATAGCAAGGTCTGCGTAAATTCGATACATAATAGAAAAATAAAAATTTTATTGATCATGAGTGTATGCGCAAAAAATGCCGCGTATAGTAGGATGGCCAAAAACATCGATATGATCGCCCAATATATACCCAAAAATATTGCCCAATAATTACGGTTATATTCATTGATTTCCAGACAAATAACGTTGAGTTTACACAACATTTGCATAACATATGCATTTCGTGTGTCTTTCCTATCATCATCTACACCTAAATGACTAGTAATTGACCGTAATTTTAGTCGTAGGTATTGGGCAATAATAATACAGTAGGTCAATTGCCATATAATTATGCGGTTCCAGTAATTGGTTACCAGTCCAAACACTATACTATGAGGTATAGTGTATAAAATAATATTATCAAATGTCAGAAATAGTGCTTGCCCAAATAATATTATCAGAAATGCTACGACACAAATTATATTAACAATAAACTCGGTCAGTTTAATGGAATTTCGTGAAAATATTAACAATTTATAGACTGTATGCTTGTCGTGAATACCGATACCAGCGGGGGTTACGCGACCGGATAGCATCCAAAATACCCTCAAATCTGTCGGTTGTATACCTTTCCTGTAGTTATAGTAATTTAGTAGTTGTGAGCACATGCTTAATATTGCGCCCACAATGATCAGGATAGATATTTGGTATCTCAGGCCTAAAAAGTAGGTGATATCTCCACACATGGCGTAAAACTCTTGATTCTGTTCGGGAATTAACACTAAAATTGTTTGTCGTAAGAGATATACAAACGACAGAATAAACACCAGAATCGGGCTATAAATGAGTGAACGGTTCGCGGCATTCAATGGTTGATAGAGTGAGAGTCCAGTAGCGTATAGGTGTGTACCGGCCCTGGGAATGACTAATGAGCCAGGTAATACTTCAGTGACTTTTATGCCATATTTAGTAGTATATTATATGATAATAAAAATTTTTGCTATAACTCGTAAGTAATGTTGAATTTCAAGACTTAGTGAATAAGATCAATTAAAGATTTTGTTTTTAAAAATTACTAACGAGTATCATTAAAAATATTTTTTAAACAATCATTATCATTATAACCTGTCGTATAATTACCCAATTTATCTACTTAATTATGAATAAATCTAATAAAAATTTTAAAGTTAAATGTTGAATGTTAAAATTGCTCTATTTTTACTACTTTAAAATATCATTAATGATAATTATCATATCTATTATATGGGAACATTTATTAGGATTTATTATATATTTTTATTATAATTTTGTTTTAAATGTTCTGGCAAAAATATGAATAAATGATAATATTTTGTTCATTGTATTATCATATAGAATATAATTTAGTGTATATTATATTAAATTTATTGCCTTATATTCCATAGAATGCAACATGCTTAAAAGTATAGATTAATATATTTATAATAATACTATATTTACTTAAACTATTCACCTTTTATAAAAACATAATATTTTCTATACAGTTTATGATTTACTTGTAGTTCCCGGTGTTTGAGGGGTTGACTGTCCGTTCATTGTAGGCCAGGTGTTTTTGTGTATTTTATAAATGCATGTACTGTAATTAAATTGTCCTAAATACATATTATATTATATTTTTTACAATTGATTATTGATAATAATCTTTCAGCATTAATCAATGAGGTTATTAAGAACCTCGATTAAAAATTACTAGTAAAAACTAACGTGTTAATTTAGAAAAGCTTTTATAATTTTAATTATAGAAGTATAGTAATAAATTATTAAATTATTATTAATTTTTTAATCAAAATTACATTGTCAATATTTTAATTTTTACACGCATAATAAAACTACATTATTAGAGTTAAATATTTTCAATTGTTTTTAATTTATGGGTATTGCTGAACTGGCCCTTATTTCGTGGCCAATTGGCCCACAATTACAGGAAAGCCCACCTAACCTAACCTACTTATTTACACTATAAGTTGGTTTGTTTTTCTGCCAGACTGAATTGGCTTCACTGTAATACCTATTAAGTATGTTAGGTTAGGTAGGCTTCCCTGTAATAGTGGGCCAATGGGCAAGGCCCACTAAATAAGGGCCTGTTCAGCAAATCCCTTAATTTATTTACTTAATATTACATAAATTAATTAAATATTAATAAATATACTAATAATGAGACATAAAACACATTTTATAATTTTTTATGAATTAATTTTTATTAAGTTTTCAATTTTTATTAAATTTTCAACTTTTATTACATGGGACATTTAGAAATGACTTTTTGATTACAATTTAATTGTTTATTTTCAACTAATAACTTAAGCTGTTGTTACCGGGGCTGCGGTTGATGGCCGGGCAGTAGATGGCCTGGCGGTTGACGGTGCGGCAGTAGACGGCCTGGCTGTTGATGGCCGGGCGGTCGACGGTGCGGCAGTAGATGGTCGGGCGGTAGATGGCCTGGCGGTTGACGGTGCGGCAGTAGATGGCCGGGCGGTTGACGGTGCAGCAGTGGATGGCCTGGCAGTTGACGGTGCGGCAGTACTGGCCGGTTGGGGAGTAGTCGGGTTCAGCAAACGCTCCAATCGCTCGAGCTCGGCGTCCACCCGGATCTCCAAGTCGTTCAGTCGGACCTCGAGGTTCTGGATCTCGCGTTGCGTGACTGCGAGGTCGAGCTCGGACGACAGCACCCGAAGCTCAGCGTCGTACAGGTCAAGGGTGGCCAACTCGCGGATGTCGATACGGGGGTCTTGTCTCAGTCGAGCGGCGTCTTTCTCCAGGCGCTCCTCCAGTTGGGCGGCTCTCGCCTCCAGTGCCGCTTTGGACAGCGGAGTGGTGCCCGGAGCCTGAGTGGTGGCGCACAGCATCCCTACAATATTAAGTAAAATTAATATAATTGTTATACAATTTTATACAAACAAGTTCCTTTATATATTTCATACTAAATTATTTAATTAATTATTAATTAATTTAATATAATATATTTTGAAAAATATAAATAGGAACTTGTCAGTATACGACAAGTTATATAAATAGTTAATTATAAAATGTTTTAATTTTTAAAATGTCTATAGCTTATTTACTTACCACATATACACGCGGCTAGTACAATTAAATATTTCATATTTAGTTTTTTAAATACTTTATAATTTGTATAAAGCTTTATGTATTAAATGATCGAGTGGATTGAATTATTCAGGCAAACTTTAGCTGTATTTATAGCCCTAATAGCACACGACTTTATACATCAGATAACTTTCCCCTAATTGTCACATAGTGTCGACCCCTTCATAGTAAACACTTATAGTAAAAACCTCCACCGCCTTAAACTGCAATTTTCAAAGTAGTGCCTTTTAAAACGTGTACCTTGTTAGTATAATTTGTGTACTATTGATCGTAATCTATCATATGTACAATAAATGATTTTTTCAACAAATGATCGAAATTAATTTATTGGTGTAGCCAGGTAACCAGGTAATTTTGTTTACTTAATTGTTTTAATATGGGTCGAGAGAGACTATTAATAAATTGTTTA